TTTATGCTCATTCTCTCCCCTTTCGGCCGCTTCCCGATCCGCTCGGCGCGCGCTCCGCTCCGCTCTCCTCTCTTCTTGAAACCCTAGCCACTCACTCACCCGATCTCTCTCTTCTTCCCGCCCTCCGGTGGTGGTGGCGACAACGGTGGCTAGGAAAATGCACACGGCACACGGCACGGCCTTCTACACCCCTCTTCTCCCGACCGGCGATGTAGCTTAGTCGTCTCCATCTCCTCCTCGTCTCTCTCTCTCGTCGGTCTCTTCGACCTCGCCGGACTCCGGTGTCATTGGGGCATCGCAAGGAGGCGTTGAGGTCGATACGCAGGGCCATGGGATCGCGGCGTCGTCGTCGTTGCCCGCTGCTGCTCAAATGGGTTAGCGAGGTGAGCTCAGATCCGCTTCTTCTTCTTCACTTCATTTCTTTTCTTGTTCTTGATTCGGTGTTCTTCACTTCTTGTTCTTGATTGTTTGTTCTTCATCTCTTCTTCTTCTTCTTGATTTAACCCTAGATCTGTTTCTTTTTTTTTTGAATTGGAATGGCGTTGAGGGACCGGAGGCGGGACGACGAGATGTCGGACGAGCAGGAGGACATCGGTCTCTCCATGACCATCAACGAGCGAGCTCCGCCTATCTTGGGATGACCGAGAGACGACGAGGGGACGATGTCGTTGGGGATGCCGAGGAGAGCTCTTCCGCCGTCGTCTTTGCCGAGGAGCTCAACGGCGGCCTTCGCTGGTAACTCCACTTCCGTCGACGACGGTGATGGCCCTAAAATCGCCCGTAAATTTGACGCTCAAGCTCTCAAGCTGCTGGTGATGACGGCTCAAAGCAAAGCAAGCCTAATCGCCCTTCTACCTCGGTTCTCTAAAGGCTTTGGGAAGATTTCGAGAAGCTCATCAAGAAGGTAAATGGTAAGTATATCGGTGTATTTCGGTGTCTTCACTTTAGTAAGGAGTACTCTGCTAATTCTAAATTTGGGATGGCCATCTTCTCCGTCATCAAGACTCTTGCCCTAAGAAGCGTGAGAAATGTCGCATGGCTCGGTCCCACATTACTTTCAATAAGGATGGTAGTGTGCGTAATTGGGAGTATTCTTTGAGGTTGCTCGTAAGGAGCTTGTTCGTTTGCTTGTTAGGCTAGACCTTCCCTGCGTCTTGGTGAAACTCGAGGCACTGGGAAGATTACATAAAAGCTACTCATAACCCTAGGTACTCTATCGTGTCTAAGCAAACTACAGCTAGAGATCTTTTTAAGTATTTCAATTCTAAGCGTGATAGTTTGATTGAAGATTTGAAGAATAATGCATTTCATCATCTGTTGCTATTACTTACGATATTTGGTGCGGAAATGCTAAAGAGGATTATTTGAGTGTTGTTGGTCATTACATTAATCTTTGATTGACAACTTGAAAAAGGGTGCTTGGCTTAAGGCTTATAGATGCATCACATAATGTCGATAACATTTTTGAACGTGTTAAGATTGTGCTTAATGATTATGGTATATTGAACAAGGTCTTTTACATTACATTGGACAATGCCCTCGCTAATAATAAAGCTATGGATAAACTAAAAAACCTAGCTTACTTAAGGAGTATTTAGGTTCGACGATCTGCAAATTTTTGCATCAAATTTGTGCTTGTCATATCATAAACCCGATTGTTAAAGAGGCTTTGGAGTTCTTTGTTAGTGCTTTGATTGATGCTTTCGAATCGCAATATCATGGATTAACTCTTCTAACATTGAGTTCTTTGCATATAAGAGTTCTTGCATGGCATCCGGTACTAGACCTAGGAAGTTTGCTTTGGACATGGATGTTAGGTGGAACTCTACATACACGATGCTTAGGCATTTGCTACCACACAAGGAAATTTTCATACTTTCATTGAGTCTAATTATCCTAGACCTAAAGGTGGCCCCTTTCTTTTGACTCATGATCATTGGGCTATAGCAACTAAAATATGGAATTCCTTGAAGCTGTTTTATGACTCAACTTGAGTTGCTTTGTCCGGTGTACTATCCTCTTGCCCCACTTATGGTTCATCATATTGTTAAGATTGCTATACACTGCATAAGTATCAAAATGATGAACATATTAGAACTATTGTTCAACCTATGATTGATAAGTACAATAAGTATTGGAGAACCATACCTGATCTTTACTGCATTGCATTTATCTTGGATCCAAGAGCTAAAATTAAAGGTTTTAACAAAGTGCTTAAGAAGTTAAATGTGCTTACTGATGCTGATTATTCTAATAAGCTGATGCAAACTAGAACTCTACTTTTCAAGCTGTATCATAAGTATGATGATTTGTATGGCTCTGTAAGGGCTAAAAAGGCTGATCCTCCAAGCCTATCTCGGTAAGAAAAAAAACGACTTGGGCTGAAATATATGATGATGATGATGATGATGGTCTGGTTGGAGCTGCCTGTTCTTCTCTTCCTCCTAATCTTGATATGTCTAGGAGTATGCCTGCTACTGTTTTGTTACATGCAAACAAGTTCTCTATCTAGCGATAGATTCTCGCTATCGCACTTATCCGGACTGTGACACAGTGAGCCGGCATGGGATGATGACTTCAACATCCCTGGCTGGGTGGCATCGTCATAAGCTAACATATCCAGTTCTTTCTACCCTTGCTAAAGATGCAGAGTGCCTGTTTCTACCATTTCCTCGAAGCTACTTTCGGTACCCTTTGGCGGGGATCATTGAAGAAAGAAAGGAAGGGTCAGGGAGGCTAAACCTCGAGGCTGTGGAGGCACTCACATGCATCAAGGATGGGAAGGAAGGCTTCTTTGAGTCAAGGCTACAACATATGGTGGAGGATAAGGAGCTCGAGGAGGCCTTTGAAAACCTTTATCTTGATTAGTCATTCATTTATGTAATGGTCTCAATTATTAATCTTAAAGACTTGGACTTGGATGCTTTGGATCTGTGGATTGGATTTAATGAACAATTGGATTAAACTAAGGGGTTGGTTGCACTCTTTTTCCCTGTCGGGGTTTCTCACAAGGTGAGTTTACAGGACAGGTTTTTAATGAGATGACCATTACATGACTCCTTTTATTTCATATTATGTTCTTCTTGTGTTCTCTTTTTTTCTTTTGCTTTCTTCAAATTTGAATTTGATCATTGAATTGTACTTCTATTTGTTTGTGAACATTTTAAGTGTTATTGAGGTTTTAGTGCCTGAGCACGGCACTAATCGGGTTGGTGCCGTGCTTGTGTGGCACGGCACACACGTGCTACTGGACTCCTTAGTGCCGTGTTCGGGCGGAGTGGTAACGCACGGCACTCGCGCGGCGCACACGCATCACGTCAGGATGCCGTGCACGATAGTGCCGCCAGGCGCGCCAGCGCTAGTGCCGTATCGACACGTGCCGATTGGCCGCATGCGGCCCGTTTGGAAAACTTTAGTCGGGCGGGCAGGTACGCGTCAGAGCATGCATTAGTCATTGGTAGTACCTAATTAAGCTACTAGGCCCATCAGTCCATCACGCATCTATGGCCTAAAAGATGATGATGTTCATTAATTAATTCCAATATGTATGTGAGAAAATTTTCGCTCCTCTCCTACGTGAATCCGAATTTTGTGGACTTTTAATATGCATACGGATATGAATAATCCAAGTTCGGTTATGTGCAGATGCGTGATAGGATATAAAACTAGCAAAATTAAGTTGATATTGGCCGTAGGCGTGACAAAAAAAAATCGTGGCTTCCGTTGCAACGCATGAACATATAGTGAGTTCCTGATACTATAGGTACATGGTACTTACTTAATCCTTCATGTCACCTAGGTTTTTTAAGACATGGAGCAAAGCAAATGCAAGCAACTTTCTACTAATACATCATAATGCAATCCATTTCAACTCATTGTTCGTAGAAATCTCCATTTTAACATAGAAGTAAACATGCTCTGTGCTATTTTGCTACTGGATTCGTCTGGTCTGTTACTATTTGATATTAGACCTAAATGGATTCAAAAATAGTTTATAGGATTCCTAATGCAAAATCGCTTATTAACTTTTATCAATTTCTAAAAATGATCAAAACTGTCGCTATAACCATGGGCAAAAATTTGTGCTGCCGTGCAACGCACGGGCATGATTCTAATACAAAGAAAAAAAACTGATCAAGTTTATAAACCGGACTTAAAAAAACTGTACAAATACTAAATACAACTACATTACTATATATACGTCTATACCATACAATAGAAACTATGACAAACCAACATGCGATGGAGCCCATCAAGTGTCACCCTCGCCACAAGCTACCACAAAGTCCAAAAAGACCAAATAAAATCAAATCTGCCACACCAATTTCCTTTGCCAACTATCGCCAACAATAATACATGGACGCAGCAGTTCCAACTTTCCTTAGGCTACAAATGGTGCTATCACCGATCGAGAGATAACTCCATGGAGCCGAGCTAGGTAGACTCCTCCTTAATTACAGGTTTACTGTACACTACACTACCATAATATATGTCTTAGCCTAGCTGCCTAGGCGTAGCTAGTTTGCAATGGGAAGGTAGCTAGCTTAGGGAGGAAGGTGTCACCTTGCCAATCTTTAATGTACGTAGTGGTTTCGCTAATAAAGCTAAACCCATTCTTTTGAGCAAAGGCAAAAAAAAAAAATCCTCACCACAGGGGGGATGTCGTCAGCCCATTCCTCGTATTTGAGAGAGAGAGACTGAAGTAACTGAACCCAGATCTGGGATTTGGAAAATAAAAAGAATGCAACGCGCACGCACCTGCTGACGGGGAAAGCAAAATGAACGGCGTCTGCTGTGGGCCCCACACGCAAACGAGGGTGGGGAAAGAACTCAAAGAACCACTGTAGCTCGATCCTTCGTGACCGGTGACTCTGCACTGCACACAAGTACTCTATCACTCGGTCTCCCTGCCCTTTGGCGGCGGCTTCGCCATCCATTTCCCCCGGAACTCCCCAACTCCGAGTCTCCAAGAGCAGAGGAGGCTGGCTGGCCGGCGCCCCATGGCGGACTGCGTGACCCGCGTGTGGGCGCTGGCCATCGCCACCGCGGCCTGCATCGGCCTCCCGAGCGCGCTCGTCTACGCCATCGTCCGGATCGCGGCGGCGCGGCGCTACGGTGCCACCTTCGCGATGGCCGTCGTCCTCGTCTTCTGGGTCACCATCAGCGTCGCCTACTACCCGCGCGTCTGCGCCGACCTCGTCCCGTGGCCGCGCTTCATGCGCCTTCCGCGCCGCGGCGGACCCTCGCTGCTGCTGCTGCTGCCGCAGCGGTCGTCGTCATCATCCGTGGCGCAAGTGGACGGAGACCGTGCTGCTGGCGGCATAGGCGCGCTTCCTCGTGAGGCACCGGCCGCGCGCGGCGGAGCAGGTGTCCGCGCCGATGACGACGTCCTGCCGCTGTCGCCGTCGCCGTACCCGTACGAGCACCAGCGTGTGCCTTTGGCCCAAAGGCACGGAGACCGTGGTAGTCGCATGGCCGCGCTTCCCCGGGAGCCACCGGCCGCGCGCGGCAAAGCGCGTGCCGACGACGTCCCACGGCCGCCGTGCGAGCGGGAGCGGCAGAGCGACGGCGGGCCGTCCAAGTACTGCGCCATCTGCTTGGCCGACGTGGACAAGGAGGAGACGGCGAAGCGGCTGCCACTGTGCCTGCACGTGTTCCACCGCCACTGCATCGATCAGTGGCTGCAGGGCCACTCGACGTGCCCGATCTGCAGGTGCAACGCCTTCCTAGACGGGCGGTGAAACTTAGACGCTCACGGCGACGAGTTCATGTGTTCAGCTAGGTTTTTTTAAATTGCTGTTGCCAGTTCTGGCTTTAATTATGGACAGTATATATAGCCATTCTAACATTGTCGAGGAAATTCCTTTAATTGCATATCGTCCTTTAATTCTATAGCCACCTCTTATGTGCCCCTACAAATTATGAGTTACCACCGAATCTTGTTTCCCTTATCGAATCGTATTTTCGTTTCTCTTATCTGCCATTGACGGCTCATATATAGCGGTTAGTTGGTTGTTGGTTGAAGCCTTGAAGGTGGAAATAGCAATTGTACCTTTGCCATCAGCACAAACACAACTTTAGAAAATAGAGACCCCTTCCATGCCATCGCATTGGTCTACATAAAAAAATAAATATGGAAATTGCTATTTATGAGGAGACTGATTTTTTTTTTCAGGCTGCGATCGTCAGTCCTTGATAGGAAACGGATGCTCCAGATTAGATCGAGCCCTATTCATCTTCTTACTCACGCTGTCATGCAACCGCACCAGCCCACTCCCACTGCCGATCTCCCCGTCGTCCACCAATCGCCGCCAATGACCCCACCCTCCCCTAATCCCAATCCGTGCACTATTTCTCTTCCTCCTCGCGTCCGTACCAGCCCGCTCCTGCCGCCGACCACCCCCGCCGCCGCCGACCCCGCCCTCCCCTAATCCTAATCCCACGATCCAGCTGTCGAGCCCTCACCCTCGCTGCGGGCACTTGCCCCCCCCCCCTTCGGCGGCTCCCCGCCACCTCGCTTGCCACCGCCCAAGCTCGCCCTCCTCCTTCTAAGCCCGGAAACAACAAATCCCCTCCTCATAAGGCCCTAACAACCCTGAACCCCGAACCGGAGGAGGAAGAAGAAAGCGTCGCTCGAAATCTTGTCAGCAGGCGACTAGAGTCTAGGAAACGTGAATAAATATTGATCAATACTACAATATGTATTTATATAGCCAGAGTATCCGGACAACACTTAATTGTTGATCCATAATTATTTAATTTAAATAGGCACAAACCATATGGCCGCATCGACACACGTCATATTATGACAACAATAGTATGTGGCTTTAGAATAACCAACTTGGAGCCATTTGCGACAACACTAGTATCATTAAAGCCGTTTCCGATAACACTACTGGTTGGGAACTAGGGATATGCTAAGGGGTATCATTAGAGCCGGTAGAGGGATTGGTAAGGAGAGCCAATATCCAACACAATGCTAAAATATCCCTATTGGCCCGTCATTAGGGGTTGGTAAGGAGAGCCAATATCCAACACAATGCTAAAATATCCCTATTGGCATGCATGTAACGAAGGATTGCACGCACGCGCGCACGGATAGTCTATTCGACAGTGTCGGCTTTTTACGGTGACACATATATTCGGCCGGTCTCATCCGTGGTGCTGATTGCTAGATTCAGTAATTGGCATAAATGAGGAGAGGAGCCATCATAAACGAGGTCTTATGTAAGCACATTCCAAATGTTGACTCTTTTTACGATAACACTAGTGGAAATGCACGTGCGGCACGCACGTGATTACAGTTGTGATAAATGATATCCTGTGTGTATAGACAAAAAAAAACTTTGAGATTGTAGGATACATAGAATAAAAATCTGGTTTGCAAATTATTTTGTTTACGAGACATCCACATTATTTTAAAATTAGAACATCATATAGAAAACAAATATTTTGTTATAGCAATCAATTATTGACACTCATAAAATACACATAATATAATTATTTAGATGACAAATTTGAGACTGATGGCGTCCTCTTTGATTGTTCTGGTGAATTATTTTGGATGTCCGTAGTGTAAGTATTTGAAGATCAATGTGTATTACAATATTTAGAACCTAGGTTTATATAACAAGTGCGAAGGGAAATTCAGCATAATTACATAGCAAAAATCTACATTTAAAATTTTATGCACAAGTATATACACGTCTCCTATCTTGATAGGATAAATATTTTCATGGGGTCATTCATATATTCTCACCAAAACTCTACTTGGCCGTTCTCATCGGGATCTGAAGTGATTTATTAAAACCAGCAGTCTTTTTAAAATATTGTTTATTAAAGAACAAAAGGAAAGGAAATAGTTCTAGACATAATAATTACATTCAGATACAGTCATAAGCATAATAATCATATAAAATATGAACGCATGGTAAACAGCCTAAAAAGAAAACATTTTTAGCACAAAGATAAGACTACTCATAAGCGTGTATCTGAACATCTAATAAATAAGTAAAAGTAGCAAATACAGACCACAACATTACAGCTTTATCTGATAAGCATCAGGTATGCAGAAAAACAAAACTAAACTAAAGGTTAAAGCATAGGCAGTTTACTTGAGTAGCAGTGCAAATACAGAATCCTGTGTAATGACCGGGATACTATGAACTGTACAACAGTATGTAATCCTTCGAAATCAGTGAAACTCCTTTGAGATCAAGCACACTGAACATAGATGTAGCAGGAGTTTGCGTGACCGAAAAGCACGAATACACTTAATTAGAACTGAATGTGAAAAAAAAGCTGAGAAAAAGAGGCTAGAGCATAGGCAAATCACCTGAGGAGTAAGGCAAAGAGAAGATTCTGTGTGATGACAGGGATATATGAAACATAGTATAGACAGTAATTCTTCGAGATCAGTAAAACTGAGATGAACCAAGCTGAACACAGACTCAGCAAGAACTGGTGTGACTGAAAAGCACAAATACAGCAAATTAGCAGAACTGAAGGTAGGGAAAAAAATTTAGTGGATGAAAAAAAATGCACGCAGGTAGTACAAGCCAAGGCACTTAATCTGTGTAAAAAGGATTTGGCATCGTGGCTGCCTTTTCAGCAACAAGGGGAAGGTTTGTATGCATTGCCTTTAATACAGATCAGGCCACAGAATGTAGATTATTTCAGTTGAGTTCATGGATTTTTCTATTTTGTGTGTTATACTCTTACAAACAGTTGCTACTACAGGTTAATACTATAGTTTTTTATGCAAATAGGATTATTTCTGTTGTACTACACTATTTTGTCCCTAGACACACACATACCTCCTAATTTAATGATTTCAAACATAAACTTAAATAGGTGAAGACCAAAACATTACAATTTAGGCCTCGTTCGGTTACGGGAGAATCATTCCCAGCCGAGCGGCTTCTTCGTAAATTTGTATAGCGCCGGAACCGATCCAGGCGCGGAACGGCCAGTTCCGTAACAACCAAACGGAGCCTTAATTGTTATGCTAGAGACCGGAATACCTGAAGAGGTAGTTCAAACAGAGCAGAGATTTCTTCTGTGTAGAAATACCCTGATCTGTAGTCAATCTGGGACCTTTTTGTTGGATGGGCATAACTTGACACATTTCTTTGAGTGACACTTACATTAGTTGGATATATAGCATCTGTAGTACTACAGGTATGCAGATATCCTGGAGGGCATAAGCAGATGAAATGCTGACACTAAGAACTGATTAATCAAATCACACTGTTTTATTTCCTAATTGTCTAAATCGTGAGTTACGGACCTGTGCAGCGTGGATGAGGAGGTGCTCGGGAGGGGTGGAGCAGAGGCGCGTCGCTGTTTAGATGCGGCGCGTCGGCGGCGCTGGGGTAAGGATGGAGCGATGGGGAGTTGTCGTGCGGCCATTTCGCTGGAGCCGGCCGCGGTCGAGGCCGGGCCGCCGGCGCACACCCTGCGGTGCCGCCGTGACGGTACACAGACTCCCCTTGCTTCGACCTCGCCGGCCACCAGCCAATCGCGGCCGCGCGCATTCTGCTTCTGCCCTCCGGCCTCCGCCTACGAGGCACTCGGACGCTCGGTGATTGCGGCGCTACGCTTGCTTCGACCTCGCCGGCAGACCCCGGCGAGGATCATGACGTCGACGCACTCTCGGGGTCGCGGCTGAGGAGCCCAATGGCGAGCGCGGCGCTCTTCTGCGCGTCGGCGCGGCCCTCCTTGATGAGCCGCAGCGGCGGCGGGACGCCATTCTCCTCGATGATGAGCCTGCCGTAGCGGTCATTGTCGCGCGCGAGGGAAACGACGCTGGCGGCGGCGTCCGCGCAGGCCTCCAGCCTACCGTACTGCAACACGGTGATCTGCTCCCAGATATGGAAGAGGATGGGCTTGTTCTGCGCGGCGGGGGGCAGGCCGATGTGGTCGTCCTCCTCGTCCTCGTCGGAGGCCGCGTAGTAGTTGGAGACACGAAGGATCCAGGTGAGGTCCCCGAGGGAGTTGTCGAGCAGGTAGGAGGCCCTCTTGAACGACCCGCGGGGATGATGGTGAAGACGCGGCGTACAAAGCCGTGGCGCTCGAGCAGCGCGGTGGCCTTGTCCAGTGCATTGACCGTGTCCTAGACGATGCGGCACGCGGGTTGCTCGTAGAGGTCGGCGCGCGCCGCCTGCCGGAGCAGAGAGCATGATGGCTCGGACCACGGCTACTCGCCTTCCTCCGCGGGCCTTCCCACGCGACGCCGAGAACAGGCCTGCCGTCCACGTCTGGGCGTAAGCCCTGCTGCCGCCTCCGGGCCTCCCACTGCAACCGCACTGGCCCGCTCGCTGTCTCGCTCGCTCGCAGAAACCGACGCTCCTCGGCTCTCCCCATCTCTCGCACGCGGGTCGTCGATTTTCGAGGGCGAGGGCGAGGAGTCACGACGCTTCCGCGTTCATCCCGCAGACGGCGACGGCGAACCGCTGAGCGAGCGGGTACGCGCGCGGGTATGGTGCAACGACGGTGAGAAAAAAAGGCGTAGCAAGGCATCGGCAGAGGATAAGTGCAAAGAGTTTCCGACCGGGTCCACTCGTCATATCAGGATGGCAGATTTAGGAGGTGTTTAGTTGGTGAGGTGAACATTTTTGGGTGTCATATCAGATGTGTCGGGAGGGGTTTTTGATACTAATAAAAAAACAAATTACAGAACCTATCAGAAAACTGCGAGACGAATCTAATGATACTAATTAATTGGTCATTAGCACATGTG